TATATATATATATATTAAACTTTAGATGTTAAAAATATAAATTTATAAAACTTGTGTGTTATGCATGTGAATTTCTAAAAATTTTTTCAACATAAGTTCATAATTATTTGCATATTTATCCAAAAAAGATCATATAACAAGAAAAAGGGGGGGAGCTTCCAATGTCACATTATCTTTAGTAGTTTTTTTATAATAATCACATATGTAGGGGTGTAAATAAGTTGCTTGAGGGTGTTTAGTGCCTATTTGTGTTAGGGTAGTTTAAAATGTTCTTACCCCTTTGTGATTTGTGTTTAATTTTAAATTGATTATTTATTCAATATAAAAATTTACAATAAATATTATTATTTAATTATTTAAGGGGAATTTATATACATATTAAAAAACTCTCATCTTTTTATATACCTGACACCTAAACTTTTATATTTAAATCTAGATAAATTTACAGCCATTTCACAAAATTCTTATGTATGTACATTTCTATCACCCAAAGTTTGATATTTATATTTACAACCCATTGTTGTCAAGTTGTCATAAACTTATGCATGAAATGTTATATTTTATTGTTAAAAAGATAATGATATTATTATTTTTTATAAGATACTAAGGGTCTGAGTGACGTCTATGTAAATATGAATGTATGTAAATGCCCTTTACATTTATTATAGTGGTGTCAAAAATGTATGCACGAAAAAACCTATTTTACTTTTAAATTGTTAGCAATGATGGTATTTATGACATGACATTAAACATTTGAGTGTTATCTATCATGTATGTATGTTTATTAAAGTTTAGGTGTTCGACATGTAAGTATATAAAAATTTTTCCGCATATATCTGAATGCCCCATTATTTAAATAATAAATATTTAATGACATATTACTCTATTTTTATATATTTACATGCCCTATGCCTAAAATTTATATACTTTTGAGCTGGAAAATATACTTTTGGATTGATAAAGGGTTAGATTGTGGCAGGGTTCATCGTTGTTTTTCAATTTTTTTTTTTTTTTTTTCTTCTGAATGATAGTCATGTGTATGTCATCACAATTTTCTGATACGTCCTCGCCGACCACTGATGTCCTGACATCTTGAGATATCTTATCATAAACGGCGACAAATAATTCAACAAGTTGGTTTTGCAACCTTTATCTAATTTTCTAAGATAATTTATTAGAAAATTTTCTTCAAAGTTGATTATATAAAAATTTAAAAGAGATGTCTACTTTTGATTGAATTTTTGGCAAATTAGATTTGTTGGCCCGAATAACTTTATTAATAGAAGTAACTTTCTCTTCAATATGAATGAGTGTCGATCATTTAATAACAGATTTTCTGTATTAACATTTGTGATTTAAAAAATAATGTTTAATTTCTAGCTTTCAATATCATATCAATTGGGTTTGATTTTGTTTGAAAAAATATAATTCAAATAAACCTTCCATTAAAGAGTTAGAAGTATTTGAGTAATACCTTAACAATTATCGCACCATTGTCAAAACCGATTTAGTATATATTTGATAAAATTCAAACGTCATTACGAACATCCAAGAATGTTTTCATACGCATTTACTAACAAAAAAAAGCTCTTCGCATGACTTGGACATAAATCCAATAATTAAAAGAGACGGATCATTTATATTGTGATTTAAAATTTGATAAGAACTTAGCCCACATTCTTTATAATTGAGAATACAATGAATTTTCACTTTATTATAAGCAATTGATTTATTTTTCTAATTATAGTTATGCTGAATTTGAATACATTTTAATGATATAAGTATATCTTCATGCATTTCTTGATCGTAAAAATATTCATGGGGAAATAGATTGTTTCCTAAATAAAATTGCTCAAGCTTTCCGCTCGATGTCATAAGAAAAAGCCCTCACTTCGAAATCAGCCACCCAACAATCCGCCTCAGCAAAGAATTCTCTATCAAGAAACATTGCATGTGAGAGTTACTTTCATCGCTTTGAATCGAGGGATTTAAATTGAATAGTAGAGTTAACTGCTCGCAGCAAAGTTCTGTCGTAAAACGTCGTATTTATTTCGTGTGATCGGGAAGAAGAACTTGGAAGATTGATTTAACTGGCGTTGCTATACCTAGTTGTGGCGTAGTCACACCGTCTGACGTAGCTACATCATGTCAGGCGCAGGATGACCTCCAACTTCTCCTTTGGTTATTGTTGGCTCCATCTCCTCAACAATCACCCTACCACCACGGATTTTCCGGCACACAACAAATTGATAAGACTCGTTTATTCTGTCCCAACATGATGCTCATATAACGCTTGAATAAAGCTATCAACTCAATCAGAAAGTACGTTTACTTTATCAAACAAGCCTCTCGTTCATGTGCTCAATAATCTCTACATGAACCGAGTTCGAACATGATATTTATAAACGAGCTTGAGAGCTCAAACAAGTCTTAAAAACCCGAATCAAGCTCGATCCTAGCTCAAACAAGCACTTAATAAACAAGCTCAAACTTAAACTCACACCTCCTCCACTCAACTCAGTTCATCTGCATCCCTAATGCATCAATGCCTCCAATCTTTAATTGGATCAACATTGAGTATTTTAAAAATCAAAATTTTGTAGACATGCATGCCTCTGAATATTTACACATTAAATAAAAATATGTGGTGCTGTCTTCTTTTCCTTTTTTTTTTTTTAATTTGTCCAAGGTTTTGTCTTCTGGTTAGCTAAGAGATTTTGGATTAATGCCTTTGCCTGAATCCTTATGTAATTACTCTTTTCATTTATTATAATTGATTATATATGACTATTAATGCTGCCAGAAATAAAATATATATTAAAAATAAAAAAAAAAATTTACATCAATGAAAAGTTGGCAATGATAATAGCTTTATAATATAATAATTAGACATTTGTTTGATTAATTTATTTCTTTATAGTTGAATTTAGGCCAACTTTGAACATAATTATATAATCCTATTCAAATTAATTTATTTACTTATGGAATTCCAGATATAATCAAGCCAAAATAAGAATTTATAGAGGGTTAATTATATAAATATATCTTCTAATTACTGAACCAAATGGCAGTAATTCGCTCGTTTTCTATTATTTTGTAATTTCTTTTTTTCTAAAATATGACTGTTAGTGCTGAATGATATAAAATGGTGTGAAGATAACCTAAGAAAAAGCAGAAAAAATATTACATCAGGACTCCTAACACAGTTCGTGTTGGGAGTCCAATGATGGGACGTCAGATGTCAAGTGGGCCTCACCGTAATACATTAGTATTGACCAGTGTTAAAAACGGTGGAGCCCAATTGACACGTGGCTCCTCACCATTGGATTCTGAATGCATTAGGAGTCTTGATGTAATATTTTTCAGGGGCATTTATGTATATGTATACCGCACAATTATTGTATATTTATAGATTTAACCTTCAAATTTTCGTATTTACATACATATTCTTTAAATTATTAATATTACATTAAAAACTGCCATTACTAACTTTATAAAAGTGAAATTCATTAAGCTGGATTTAAAATTTTATCAGTATAAATTTTATTTAAATTTAAAAATAATTTTCTGAAATTTTAAATTTAGACGTATAATTTTAAAAGATATAAAGCCTTTTATTTATTATATATAGCTATTTTGAACCCCTCCATGAAAATTTGTGAATTTCATCAATTTAATATATATATCTATTAAGTTAAAATTAAAGGAAGATTTACATACATACCACTCAAGATTTATCTATTTACATGTCTAAAACTTAAATTTTAAAAACAAAGTATTTTTGACGTGCAAAAAAGGTTTGGGTTATACAAATGCATAAGAATTGGGTGGTATGCATGTAATGCCCCAAAATTAAATCATAAGAGATTATAATAGTAGAAATTAATTTTATAATGTAAATGCCCCAAAATTAAATGATAAACAATTATCATAAGAATTGATGGATTCCATCTTGACTTAATCTATAATAAGTTAATGTCGTCCAGTCTCTCCGACACAACTTAGGACGGGTCTTACTTATTTGGTAGATTTTATTCGACTTCTTCTATTGCAAGTTAATGTCGTCAAACATCTTCAACTGAACAACCTAAGACGAATCAAACATCCTTAATAGATTTTCCATCGACCACCAGGTTACGATTGTCGAGGAAGTACTCCGAATAATAACCTAGAATAGGTCATGCATCCCTAACTAGGGAGTTTTTTCGTCTCTCGTAATGCAACCTAGGACGGGATAACAATGTTTCAATAATTCAAAAAAAAATTTGTAGCTCTCAACTCGCTTCACAATTCAAGATTGAACTACGACACAAAGAATAAAGATACATCCAGAAAACATAATATTCTATCAAGAAGTGTAAAAGCAGCATCAGATAGTCAAAGAGACGTACGAATAAATACACAATCCTAATATTTAAAAATTACATTAAGCAAAGAGAAAAGCAACAAACATTGACAAACCGTCACAAAATGTGAAGGAAAAGCCACCAATACAAATGAACAAACACAAAATAGTAATCTACCACATTAAAATGTAAAAAAAAATG